ACATTAGAAAACATCAGAAAACGTTTACATATAAAAACATCCGAACAACGTTTAGTTCTAACGTTTTGTACATCCGAAAACATCCTTAAAACGTTTGGTTCTAATGTCAATAGATTGAAATTTTTGACGTCAGACCGACATTAGAATGGCAAAATTTTGTTTCAAAATTTCTGATGTATACACCATGTTACGTTGCTTAAATACAACTAAATCATAATGTTTTCTAATGTTTGACATCAGGCATACATTTGATTTCGATGCTGATGTAGACATCAAAATCAAACGTTGGGCTAATGTAAATTTCTATTCGGGAGCCCAGTGGCAGGCGCGTAGGCAATATGTTATACAGTGACAGTGGGCCCAGCACAAAATAAATGATTTGAGCCCGGGACATGCTGCCTACTGTCAAACGCTGCTGTTGGTATAAGCCTTGTCACTGACCTGGTAGCAGCAGGTTTACGGTACTTGCATGGATCAGAGTTCATCCCGGCGCGGACGAGATTTTATGATGGGAAGCCAAAGATAGTTCAGTTTTGATTGGGTACACTGAAAAAATAAACCATATAAGGTTTATGTGTGAACTGATATAGATTTTTGCAATAGTACCTCGCTAATACCACTTGTGTGTTAGACACATAATCTCAAGATTTTTTTTGAATATGAATTTTATAAGTGATGACTTATAAATTTTAACTTTCCCAATCATAATCTTTAATATTTATCTTTTAATATGAAAAAATAAGACGTTTAATATTTATTCGACATTCTCTTCAGGTTTATCAGTTTTTAGGAATGAAATTTATAACCTGTAATAGTAGGTTCCGTATTTTATGCGTATTTATTAATTTAAAAAAAAACATTTCATTACCAAAACTACATTATGCAGTTATCAGAAGTATGGACAAATAAAACGAATATTAAATACAGCTACTTTTATTTAATTCACCACACTTTTGAATGTATAATTATATTTTAGGTTTTGGTAAAAAGGTCATTGGTTTATGAACTATCAACAACATTTATTATAATAGCATTTATCAACTATAGGTTCCCGGAAAAGTTCAAAGTTTAAGGTTCAAGACACCGTCACTCAGTTTGTATTCTTCTTCCTTTTGAAATTTTGGAGGGAGGAAGGCGAAGAGAAGGAGGATTAGAACGATGATAATACACACAAAAAACTATCGTTAGTAAAATTGAAAAATCCATTGGTAGAATTAAAAGTTTTCGTTGGTTCTTTTTGGTAGAAAGTCTTTAGCTTTCAAAACAAAAGTCAGCTAACTGTCAATTCAAAAGTAACTCGTTTTTTACTTTTAAAAGTCGAAACTTTCAAATCGAATTGCAGAACTGTCAATATAAGCCTATTTTGTTAAATAGACTCATGAAAGGATTTAATCGAGGATTTAATTTAAAAGATGGGCAGATTTATCGCAATGATTTATGTTTTCATCTCAAATATGAATTCTTTTTAATTCAATTCCTTTTTACTTTGACAGAAATAAAGCATAGACATATTTAATTATATATAATTTAGTTTATTTATATGATGCTGACTGAAAGCACAGAGAACAGACGTTCAAGCTCGGTCAGAAACTTGTGTAAAATAAGTGGGAACGTCGCCGTTACGTGGTGTTAGCATCTCCTGATTTTCTCAATAAATTTTCCACTTTCGACCAATTTGGCGCTAGTATCGATAAATTTTCTGTTGAAAATTGCCACTTGGCGCTACTAGCACTTAGTGTCTAGTGTAATTTGTGCAACGCCAGCGCCATCATGTTTTCAAAGAGGGTTTTTAAGTGGGGAAGTCGCCGTTAGTGGCGCTTAAGTCAAATAAGAATCTTTACACAAGTTTTTAGAGAAATTTTGTTCGAGCCTCCATGTCTGTTCTCTGTGCTGAAAGGGCACGGCATTATGGAACTTGAAGCATGGGAAGCGTTTTACGCAAATATACAGTTGGCTCAACGGCTGGTGATGGAGTAGCCTTCCTTTCCGGCAAATCTGACGAGGCTGCTGAAAATCAAAACACATCAATTAGGATAATCGGAACCAAGCAAACTCTTCGAAAATTTCATCATCTTACCTCCAAATCCCGCAGCTGGAGGATCCCGAGGGGGGCGACACATCTAAATCTCAAGTTTGGATGCTCAACAAATCTCACACTAGCGAATCAATCTTCGAAAAATCTTCTTTCATTTGTCGCATCTACTTGCATCGCTCATCACCTTTTTGCAGGAGATCTTCAGAATCGTCATCAATCTTCTTTCTATCTACTCAGCGTGTGCGCAGCTAGCCACAGCAAAACACAATCTTTTCTGCATCGTAGATAGAGTCGTCCCCCTCGGAGGATCCTTCCGATCCTTCCACTTCATAGCGTAACCACGGATGTCTCCATCTTATTATTTGTATCTTACAGAAGAGAAACAAGCGCACCAGTGGATGAAAATGTGGGAAAGTTCAAGAAACTGCTGCTGCTCATGCTAATTCTCACAGCTGCTTTTGTTTTGTTTGTTTGTTTCGCATGTCCAATTTGGTGGGAAACACAGTACTGTCAAAAACTTCGCAAGGAAGAGATTTTTTGACAATTTTACAACTTTTATTCTAATCTAAGAATGGGGTACATTAATCGATTTGCTTGGGACCAATAGGCTAGTCAAGTAGTGAGCCAATTTAAAATCGTTAGTTTCGAATTGATTGTTGATTGTGCCACATGGCAACACTACTAATGGATTGTACCACATGGCAACACTAAATGTACTAGAGTGTTTTGGTTCTATCTTTTCCCTCTACTCTAAACTGAAATGCATAAAAAAATGACAAAATGATACACTCTTTGCACACTGTCAAAGATCATATTGTACACAAAATCAACTATGTTCAAATCAAAACAAAAATACTAGCCCATCTAGTGGCTGATGGCACAAGCTTCTAAGAAAATTCTTTTACTGCGAACCACATTATTTTAATTGATTTCTTCGCCAGTTAGTCGTCTGTCACTTCGTTTGTTGTTGTACGATGTACATCGATTTTGCGAAAAACATTACATCCATTGATGTACCTAATATTGTATCTGCTTTTTGCTATTAACATCATTATTTCATACATCAGCTTGAATTACATTGTTCGATATTACATTTTTTTTTGCTGTGTGCTGCTGATGGGTTGACAACTGGGGAGTGGTTTAGGGGGATTCCAAGGTGTTGCTCTTTTTCAGGCAGATTAACGCGACCGGAGTTCACTGTAGTATTTGAATAGGTCCGATTAAACTATCGGTAATGTTGTTTTATTTGTTTCCATTAACCAAATATTTAAAAGTATTGATGAATCTACGCAAAACTGCACCAGTGCATGCGAAACCTAGGTTTGAAATCCAAAACCACAAAAGTGATGATGTACTAAAAAATAATCTATACGATTTGACAGCTAGCAAAAAGTCATTATCATTTTCACATCATTTCCATCTGCTGGCCGACCGTAACGTAGATTCATCAATTACAATAAAAATTGTTGTTACATTAAATATTGGTGTGTTTTCATTGTGGGTTACTTCACGAACAATAAAAATAAATCTGATTGAAGCATGCAGACTATGAGATGGTTAGCAACACTGACAAGATAGGCGCTGCTCGTATGGCTCTGGCTTTGACAGTTCGTTTGGCTAAAAACCAGCCAATCCGCGTCCGCTCATCTCTTATCCTAGACCCTCTCTAAAGCTGGGTTAAGATGGTTCAATTCAGCGTTCAACTCACTTGAACTGCGAAATGAACGTCCAGAAATCTAACCGAAATCGAACTTGCTCTATTCGTTGCCAAGTCAATTGAACGCCTACGACCAGATCGGTTTGAGTTGAATTCAACTCACATGCCTCATCTAAATCCCGCTTAATGCAGACCTTTTCCGTGCAGTCAATAATCATACAATAATAATAAAAAAATCCACCACTTGAAGATGTCAGGAAGGAACTCTCAGGTGGAAGCGAGGGTGGAAGCATATTTCATGGGCGATTCTCTCCAGTAGAATGCATTAACTTATCAACGACACTCAACCACCAAGGAGACGTGACCTAGAGAGATCGAGTGCAGGGGAGTTGGCCTCCATTTCTCACAAGTTCTGGATCGAATCTTAATCCACAACCAGTAAAAAAAAGTACTCACCCGTAACAGCACCCCCTTCCCTTCCCGGGGCGATGTTTTATTTTTTCGATTTATTTTTAAAGTCGATAAAGTAGATCTGTCAAGCCAGCACATACACTCTAAAGTACACTGTTATTTTTTTTAATCAATAAATTCGCCAACCAACAGTAAAATCAGGCATAACATTTAATAACGGCACAAAAGCATTTGTAAACAAACTTTCTCAGGACCTTTACACGCGAACCAAAGTACGCTCACGCAAACCAATACCACTTTCGGAAAGGTGATAGTTGCCCCTATCCGATGATGTTGTTGGTTCGTGTGGGAGTACTTGGGATCGCGTGTAAAGGGCTTTAGAAAGTTTGTTTACTAATGCTTTTGTGCCGTTATCAAATGTTATGCATGAAATAACAATAATATATAATGTTATTGAAAAAAATATATATGGGGAAATCACGAAAATTTAATTGTTAAGATACTTAACAACCCCCCTTTTTTATTGTAAATTTTCCATTTACCATGAAATTTACTGTTTTGTACAACATAAATCAAGGTAAATTTATTGTAGACGTAATAATATAAATCATTGTTAAGACAATAATTTTCGTCTTATTGCTACATTGTTTTTTAATGTATTTTTGTTGTTATTTTTTTAAATGCATGCTGAGAAGAAATTTAAACTTTTTTTTCTACTGTGTAAACTTTTATGTTATGAGAGTCTGCATCTGAGTTCGCCCCTGCAGTAAATCCTTCAAAATCCATTTTATGCTCTTTTATGTCAACAGTGAGTGCGATCGTTCGCCTTTCTTGGTCAGGGGGTGGTTTGGGTGGTAGAGACGGCGAAGGCGGGAGGCGCAGCAGAGCATAAAAAAACAGGGAGTGCAAATCGTCTGCCACTTTTGGGAAGACAAATTAGAGAAAATTAGCTAGAATTAAGTTTAAAAGTGTTTGGGATTGTCCGTAAAAGTCGCATAAAGTGCCAGTCCGCCGGTTGTGAGTGTAGTGCTATGTGAAATCCGTATCGAAATGAATAAATCGTGAGTTTTCTCCTCGTCACATTCGGGAAGGTAGGTAAGCCTAGCGGAAAAAAATATGGGTTTGTCTGCGGTGAAAACGGGCTAGCCCTTGCATTGATTTTTAAAGAATGGATTAAATTTGTCTGTTTTGCGCTCAGGTTACATTTCCAATTGTAGGCTCTTGGTAACAAAAGTGTAATTTCTTTGCAGAAAATGCGTCATTAGGGAAGCAAAAATCGCCAATCGATAATCGCTCTGCAGGAGGTGCTGCTGCTACTAGGGTGGGGGAAAAGGGTGTCCTAATTTCAAGGGACGACTGCAAATAAATTCAGCTGCACAAGCAAAAGGGCGTTCCGTACGTAGGAAATAAAGGAAACGGTGTCGATTGCAATGAGATTCAACAAACATGAACTGATTACTTTGGCCACACAACCGAGCAACAAGTTCGACAAGGAAGGACCACTCTATGTGACCGAAAAGCAGGAGGGATTCTTCCGGAAGACTGAAGGTAATTGAATGAGTTAGACTAAGTGTTTCAGACCGCATCTCAGGAGGGAGAGGGAACCATGTGTGCCCATTGTCGAATGTCGAATGTTCCTAGAAACACAACACATATACCAACATCGCATTAAAATTCCGAATAATCCTTCAGGCGAAGAGGCCAATAATAGCAACCAAATCATCCACGGCGGTAAGACTCATCACAAGCGCAAACAGTCGCTCAGTTGCATTGGTGGTACCACGAAAGGTTCGTTTTAAACATTTAACGCAGGAGACGTCACGCTCTCTCACTGTTCAGTTTGGCTTTTTCTAACACCGCAGAATGGTTGGAAATTGGTAGCTCTAATTTTCACACGGATATAGCACCCTTCCTCGCCTCTGTAAATAGCATAACTAACGGGAATAGTAGGTGTAGGCTTGTTTGTTCGGGTGTGTACTAACATTGAGGTGAATGGGTAGATATTACAATGGTTAATAGTTAGTCTAGTTGCTGATAGACAGACATAAGACTCTCGGGACGACAGGCAGACAGGCCCTCGGAAAGTCGGTAAAGGCGCAGCTACAAAGCAAAACCATGCTGGAGGTGGCTGGGTTCGATTCCCGGTCCGGTCTAGGCATTTTTCGGGTTGGAAAATTTCTCGACTTCCCTGGGCATAGAGTATGATTGATTGATGACAATTATACTAATGCAAAAATGGCACAGGCATCGAAAGCTCTCAATAAATAACTGTGGAAGTGCATCTAGACTCCTTAAGACTCTGGAAGGATTTTTCTGAAGACTCGTGATCCTTCCTTCTCCTGTAGATACCTTCTAGGAACTCCTAATAAAGATATTGGGAGACTCTCATCCTGAACAGTTCTGGTGAAGGTTCGTAAAGATCCCTGAAAACTCCTTGGACTCAAGAAGAATTCTGGAAATTTCTCTTCCAGACTCCAGACTTCTCCAGAAAAAAAACGTCTGTTGACTTCTAAAAACTCTTCTAAGGATTTCTCTTAGAGGCTCCTCCAGAAGGCACTTCCCGAAGACTGCTCCGCAGACTCCTTAGACTCCTGAGGACCACTTCTTATGAGGACTATCTTCGTACTTCTGATGATTTTGAGGACCCCTGAAGACTCTGGAAGTCTTTTTTTCTGTAGACTCATAAGCATTCCTTTTTTAGAACTTGAAGGCAATTGAAGGCTCCTCTTGTAGATACCTGAAGATTCTTGCGAATATATCGGGAGACTGGTCCTGAAAAGTTCAGCTGAATGTTCCTAAACATTCCTGAAGACTTCTTGGACTGACTCAAGAATACTTCTGGAAATTGTTCCTTCCAACTCTGAACTCCTCGAGAAAACGTCTTTTGAAGACTCTATCTAAAAACTCCTCTTAGAAACTCCTGTAGACTCATAAGGCACTTCCTAAAGATTGTCACAGACTCCTCTCAGACACTTTTCCTGAACAATTCAAAATTTATTTTGAAGACTGCTTCCCAAGGGCTACATTAACAATTCCGCAGACTTCTTGGACTCATGAGAACGACTACTTTGCACTCCTGAAAATTTCGTCTGAGTACTTCTGACTTCTGAAAACTTCTCGCATTATCTTGAAGATTCCTTCTTTTGAAGAATCTTGGAGACTCCTGACGACTACTTCTATATTCTTGAAATTCCTTCTGAAGATTCCTACGGACTACCCCTGACACCTCTTTCTATACTCCTGAAGATTAACTGAAAAGACTTTTGAAGACTTCGGGAAACTTCTCCTGAAGACTGAGGATTCCTGAGAACTCCTCCTGAAGACTTGTGAAGACTCCTTTTCAAGACATCTATGATTTTTTTTAGGAGTTCCTTGGTCAGGCTTCCCGGACTCTCGAAGACTTCTGGAAATCCTTCCAGAAGACTTCTGTTGTAGACCACCCTAGACATCTTTGAAAATTTCCTGTAGACTATTGAAGACTCCACTTTTACACTGTTTAAGACTGTTTCCTGAAGGTCTATCTAGAGGAGATTCAGAGATCTTTCAGATTTGAACATAAGAATGCCTTTTATTAAAGAGGCTACAAGGAAAGCACAAAACACTCTAAAACCTCAGAGGTTTCTTGATTACCTTTTTTAAAGGGTGAAAGTTGTCAAGGAGAAGCCCAGAGCTTCTTGGTAGCTTTTTGGTTAAACATTAAGACCTTCATGGTGAAGCTCCGGTGACTTCAAAAATAAGGTCATAGGCCTTCTAGAGGACAGTTAAAGGATTTCCAAGAAAAGATTAGATTCTATGAAGGTTCCACATGGTGACTTTCTGCTGAAGACTTCTACTAAAATCTCCTGAAGAAATCTCCTCAAACACTCTTGGGACCTTTGAAGGCTTCAATAAATTGCGCCTATAGACTCCCATAGATTGCTGAAGACTCGTTTTGCAAACTGCTCTTTAGGAAACTTCTGCAGACTCTTCCAGACTCCTGTTGAAGATCAAAGACTTCTTTGGAAAACTCCTGTAGACTACTGAAGCAGACTCCTCTTGAAAACTGTTAAAGACTTTTCCGGAATGGTTGTCCATATGAGACTCGGAGGTCTTTCAATACTGAACATGAGGAAGCCATAGTTTGGGATTTCCAGATTGTTCAAAAGACTGTTACGAAGGCTCATGTGTTAGGTGAACTTCAGAAGCTTCTTGAAGACATTCTTCAACGGTCTTCCAGAGATCTTATAGAAGTTGTCCGGTGGTGTTTGGAAATTGTCCAGGAGAAGCCCAGGGAACAGGTAGCTTTTTAGATAAACAAAAATTAAAACCTTCAAGGGAAAGCTCTGAAGACTTCAGAGGTTCTCCAGAAGAAATTTAGAAGTCTTCCATGAAATGTTGAGCTTCTATGACAAGGTGTCTTGTTTACTAGGAAACGACTCCTGTAGAATCCTCGAACTTCTGAAGACTCCTTGGAGTTCTGTAGACTTCTGGAAAGTTATTTTGAAGAGGAGTCTCCTACTCTTCCCGAAGATTTTCACTGGGAAAGAACTCTTGAACTCCTGACGACACCAGAAAATTCCATTTGAAGACTCCCAAATTTTGCTAAGCAACTCTTCCTGCAAAATGATTTTAAAGAGTACTGTAGACTCTTTTAGGAAACATCTGCTTACTTCTGTAGACTCCTTTGAATACATGATCTCGAGGAAAATCAGAGGTCTGAAAACTTCTCCTGAAGACTCATCACAAGAACTGAATGAAAAATCAGGGTCCTCGGACTACTAAAGACTTCCGGAAATATCTAAGGCACTTCTCCTGCAACTCTCAAAAGTCTCCTCCTAAAGGCTTCCTGTTGAATATCGAACACTACTCGCGAAGACTTCTCCGGGAGGTTGCTAAGGGTTCTATGAACATCTCGACCGATTTCAGGAAATTCCGTCGGTCAGTGTCCTCTAGATCTTCTAGGTGAATATTCCCGGAAACTCCTCAGTCTCCTGAAGACTTCTGGACGCATTCTCTGAACACTGTTCCGGACAACTTCTGAAAACTCCTTTTGAAGACATGTACTGGTTATTTCTGAAGACACCTCTTGGACAGATTCCTCGCATTCCTGAAGTTTTCTCAGAATCTCTCTTAAAAAATCCATCTACAGACATCTCTTGAAGTTGACAAAGGTCGAATGGACAAAAGGTCGAATGGACAAAAGGTCGAATGGACAAAAGGTCTAATTGAACTTAGAGGGGCAAAATATTGAATTGAACTTAGAGGACAAAAGGTCGAATGGACCAAATGTCGAATGGACAAAAGGTCGAAATGACCTTTGTCCCTCTAAGGTCGTAGGGATGAAATATCGAAGGAAATAAAGGTCGAATGGACAAAAGGTCGAATTGAACTTAGAGGGACAAAATGTCGAATTGAACTTAGAGAGACAAAAGGTCAAATTAAAATTAGAGGGTCAAAAGGTTATAGGGACATAAGATCGAAAGGACAAAAGGTCGAATTGAACTTAGAGAGACAAAAGGTTGAATTGAAATTAGAAGACAAAAGGTCGAAAGGTTGGATTGAACAGAGTGCAACTAAATATCGAAAAGACAAAAGGTCAAATTGAGCTTAAAGAGACAAAAGGTGGTAGGGACATAAGGTCGAATAGACAAAAGGTCGAATTGAGCTTAGAGAGACAAAAGTTCGTAGCGCCTAAAACTGCTGGAATCTATGACAAAAGGTCGAAGGAAAAAATTTTGAATGGCAAAAGGTCGAATTTAACATAAAGGGAAAAAAGGTTGAACGGGCGAAAGGTCGAATGGACAAAAGATCGAATTAAACTTAGAGGAAAAAGGGTTGGATTGAACTTAGAGGAACAAACTATCGGGTTGGATTGAACTTAGAGGACAAAAGGTCGAATTGAAATTAGAGAGACAAAAGGTTGAAGGGACAAAATATCGAAAGGACAAAAGGTTGATTTGAACTTAGAGGGACAAAAGAACGAATGGCAAAAAATCGAATTGAGCTTAAAGGAACAAAAGGTTGAATTGAAATTATAGGACAAAATGTCGAACGTACTAAAGGTCGAATTGAACATAGTGGGACAAAATATCGAAGAAGACAAAAGGTCGAATTGAACTTAGATGGACAACAGGTCAGATTGGACAAAGAGGGCAAAAGGTCGAATGGACAAAAGGTCGAATTGAACTTAGAGAGACAAAAGGTGGTAGGGAAAAAAGACCGAATAGACAAAAGGACGAATTGAGCTTAGAGAGACAAACGTTCGTAGGGCCTACAACTGCTGCAATCTATGACAAAAGGTCAAAGAAAAAATATGTTGAATGGCAAAAGGTCGAATTTAACTTAGAGGGACAAAAAGTTGAATGGACAAAAGTTCGAATGGTGAAAAGATCGAATGGAAAAAAGGTCGAATGGAAAAAAGGTGGAATGAACAAAAGGTCGAATTAAACATAGAGGGACGAAAGGTTTGATTGAACTTACAAGAACAAAATATCGAATGAACAAAAGGTCGAATTGAACTTAGAGGGAAAAAATGTTGAATTGAACTTACAGGACAAAAGGTCGAATTGTACTTAGAAGGACAAAAGGTTGAATGGACAAAAGGTCGAATGGTCAAAAGGTCGATTTAAACTTAGAGGGACAAAAGAACGAATGGCTAAAGATTGAATTGAGCTTAGAGGAACAAAAGGTCAAACGTACTAAAGGTCGAATTGAACATAATGGGACAAAATATCGAAAAGACAAAAGGTCGAATTGATCTTAGAGGTCAGATTGGACATAGAGGGCAAAAGGTTGAATTGAACTTAGAGAGACAAAATGTTGTAGGGACAAAAAATTGAATAGACAAAAGGACGAATTGAGCTTAGAGAGACAAAAGTTCGTAGGGCCTAGAACTGCTGCAATCTATGATAAAAGGTCGAAGAAAAAATATGTTGAATAGCAAAAGGTCGAATGGTGAAAAGATCGAATGAACAAAAGGTTGAATTGAACTTAGAGGGACAAAAGGTTTTAGGGACAAAATATCGAAGGGACAAAAGGTCAAATGAACAAAAGGTCGCTTTGAACTTAGAGGGACAAAAGAACGAATGGCAGAAGATCGAATTGAGCTTAGAGGAACAAAAGGTTCAATTGAAATTATTGGACAAAAGGTCGAATTGATCATATTGGGACAAAATATCGAAAATACAAAAGGTCGAATTTAACTTAGAGGGACAACAGGTCAGATTGGACATAGAGGGTAAAAGGTCGAATGGACAAAAGGTCAAATTGAACTTAGAGTGACAAAAGGTGGTAGGGACAAAAGGACGAATTGAACTTAAAGAGACAAAAGTTCGTAGGGCCTTGAACTGCTGCAATCTATGACAAAAGGTCGAGGAAAAAAATCTATGGCAAAAGGTCGACCTTAACTTAGAGGGACAAAAGGTTGAATGGACAAAAGTTCAAATGGTGAAAAGATCGAATGGACAAAAGGTGGAATGGACAAAAGGTCGAATTGATCATAGAGGGACAAAAGGTCGAATTGAACTTAGAGGGACAACAGGTCACATTGGACATAGAGGGCAAAAGTTCGAATGGACAAAAGGTCGAATTGAACTTATAGAAACAAAAGGTGGTAGGGAAAAATGTCGAATGGACAAAAGGACGAATTGGGCTTAGAGAGACAATAGTTCGTAGGGCCTAGAACTGCTGCAATCTTTGACAAAAGGTCGAAGATAAAATGTTGAATGGCAAAAGGTCGAATTTAACTTAGAGAGACAAAAGTTCGAATGGTGAAAAGGTCGAATTGAACTTAAAGCGATAAAGGTCGCAGGGACAAAATTTCGAAGTGATAAAAGGTCGAGCGGACGAAAAGTCGAATGGAAAAAAGGTCCAATTGAACTTAGAAGGGCAAAAGGTTGAATAGACAAATGGTCGAATTAAACTTAGATAGACAAAAGGTCGAATGGACAAAATGTGGAATAGAAAAAGGTCGAATTGAACTTAGAGGGACAAAAGCTCAAATTGAACTTAGACGACAAAAGGTTGAATTAACAAAAAGGCAAATTGAACTTAGAGGGACAAAACGACGAATGGGCAAAAGGTCGAATTGAACTTAGAGGAACAAAAAGTTGAATTTAAATTAAAGGACAACATATCGAATAGACAAAACGTCGAATTGAACTTAGCGGGACAAAAACTCGGATTGAACTTAGAGAGACAAATGATCGAATGGACAAAAGGTGGAATAGACAAATGTCGAATTGAACATAGAGTGACAAAAGGTTGGATTAAATTTAGAGGAACAAAACATCGAATGGACAAAAGGTCGAATTGAACTTACAGGGGAAAAAGGTTGAATTGAACTAAGAGGACAAAAGGTCGAATTGAACTTAAAGGAACAAAAGGTCATAGCACAGACAAACAGACGTAACTCTTTGAAAAAGTTTTTCATGAAAACATAGGACCTCAGTAACGACATCTCACAGGCTTCTCGCGGAAAACAAGCTTGCTCCCTAACTCGCAAACAATATTGCATGAAAGTTCTATAGAATGTATAGAAACGTCAAAATGATCCGATGCCAGCGCTGCGACGAGTAGTTCGCGAAACTGATAATATTCAAATCAACCGTTAAATGCGTGAACGAAGATACACAATGAAGAGTTACGTCTGTTTGTCTGTGGTCATAGGTACAAAATATCGAAGGGACAAAAGATTGAATACAGATTGATACATGTTCATTTCGACCTTTTATCCCTTGGAACTTTTGGCCATCTAAGTTCAATTCAAACTTTCGTCCATTCGACCTATTGCCCTTCGACCTTTTGTCCTACAACCAATTGCTGTGTAGACTTCTTTTGAAAACTCCCGTTGAATCTTGAAGACTCCTCTAGGGCACTGATTAAGACTTTCTCTTACGGAGTATCTAGAAAATACTCGAAGATCTTTCTGATGACAGTTCTAAACATTTCTCAGCCATTTCCAGAGAATATCGAAAAGACAATTCAAGAGCCTATTACGGAGGTTTACAAGTTAGGTGAACTTTAACTTTTAAAGGTCTTCCAGAAAAAAGGTAGAAATCGTCCTGAGAAGGTTAAAAGTTCTCCACGAGAAGCCCATAGATCTTCTAGCTAAGAGATTCTCTAGTTCGGAACGAGCTGAAGAAGAAGTTCAGAGATCTTTTAGAGGAAAAATAAAGACCTTCGAGGGCTAAAAATCAGAAGAAATTAAAGAACAGCTAATGCCTTGTTCCGACTGGAGAGTTATAACGGTTGTCAAATAATTGTAACACAGAAACCTTGATGGATAGCACTATAACATGATATAACTCTGTAGTCTGAACGTACTTAAGTTCTACGTGTTTTACAGGAGAAGATTCCTGAAAACTCCTCGGACTCCTCTGAGGTCTGTAGAATTCTGGAAACTTTTCGCGAAGCGCAGTCTCCTATTCCTTCTGATGACTTCTACTGATAAGTTCTGAAGAAGCCCAAGACGACTTCAAAAAATTTTACATTAAGTCTCCCTAAGATTGATGCAGATTCTTCCTGCAAACTCCTTTGGAAGAGCGTTGTAGAAAACTCTTGAAGATTGCTCTTTCTAGAGGATTATCAAGAGCAAATATGATAGTTTAATGACATTTAAGGTCAGTTCAGAACTTATCTAGGTAAGATTTGCCTGGAAGTATGCCTTCTCAAGGGGCCTTCCTTCCCCAAGTAACCATAGGCACGTTATTTCGTCTTTTTGGCTAGATACAGCTGAACAACGGCTATATCAGTGTTTGCAAGTTCTGATGAGGCCGGTGTATAGCCAAAAAGGCGAAATAACGTGCCTATAGTTACTTGGGTAGCTTAGTCGGTAAGGGCGCAGCTGTAAAGCAAGACCATGCTGGATGAGGCTGGGATTCCCGGTCTGGTCCACGACTTTTTCGGATTGAATAATTTTTCGACTTCACTGGGCATAGAGTATGATTGTTCTTGCTCCACAATACACAGTTCGTCTTCTTGCTCACGTTATGACGCAATCGGATGACTAGATGGCGATAGTGTTTAACGTATTTTTAATATGGCTTCTTGGGCATGAATTTGAATGTAAATTCTATGAGCTGTCACGTCGGTTCGTCGGTGGTAATTAAGCCAAATAAGAAAAAAAAGGAAGAGGAGGAAGAAGAAGAAGGCCTTCGAAGGGATTTTCAGCGATCGTGGAAGCGTAGTTCGAAGGGCTATCACAGAGGTTCAATGGTCAGGTGAATTCTAGAGGTTTCGAAGGAGTTCAAAAGCAAGTTTAACGTAGGACGTAGGACGTCATGACGCTCAGAAGGCTTCCACAAGTAGATTGACTTCACCAGGAAGCTTTGAGCACCGACAAAGCAACATGAAACTGAAAATTAACTCTTGATCGAGAATCCATAACGGCCGATTCAAATGTGCAGCGATCCCATCTGTCTTTGTTTTTATCTAGATAAAAATAATTTGTCCGGAATAGATTAGACACGAACCAACTCATACATTTTGTACCCGTGTTCGTGGCTAGGGTAAAGATTTTCCGCGAACACGGCGGCAGATGTCAGTTTTGTGCTTTGATCAGAAATGTCATTGTAATTTGTACAGTAATTCATGTCGGTTTGTCGGTGGTTTGAAGGCTTTCTGAAGTCATCCATTCAGGAGGAACAAATTTGAAAAATTGAGAAAGGGTTCTGATCTTTCTCTAAAAGACCTATGAACTTCGTTTACTCAGAACTGAAACAATTTTCGGTGGAGGTTATTTTTGAATATGGTTTCAGTGATCGCGGAAATGCAGGTCTTACAATATGCATCATCTGGAAGAGTGTCGGATTTTTGAAGCGGAATTCAGCAGAATTCATCCTAGATTGGCCAGATAGTTGAGAAACGTTCTTGCAATTCTTGCAGAATTCCAGACAGTTGAAAATTGTCGAGTGTTGAAATTGCAACTTTTCTTAGATCTAAACGACCGGTACTGTAAACTGTATACAGGGCCCATAAATGCATAACTGTCCCATCTCCGCTTGTTTTCCAATTTACATGGACAAGTTACGCCTTTATGGGTTCTAGTACACTGAAACGAACACATAAGAACACACTCGTCACGGTTGTGGAAACTATACTCACAGACAAACAGACATAACACATTGAACATTTTTCATTGCTAAACATTGTCGCTAAAACGCTATCGGCTATACGCCCAACAGATGCCGATGGTAGTGAGTAAACGTCAAACGCAAAGAAAAATGAGCGTTAAATACATGCGAATGTTACGTCTGTTTGTCTGTACTACACTTGTTACATCAGAGTTTGACATTGCACCTACTCACCCAACTAACCCCGCCTATAGTCCTAAGTAACTTTCCCGGAACTGATCTGATGATCGCAGTCACTAACGTTTCCCCTCTCTTCCCCAATCTCGCAACACAGTCAGCCTCGAAAAGTGGTGCCGTCTGCGGGGCAATCTGCTGTTCTACTTCAAAACCGCCGACCAATTCTCGGAACCGCAGGGATGCATCGTGCTGGAGAAGTACCGCTGCGCTAGGCACGGCGACCAGAAGGAGTACGACGGTTACGTGTTCTATCTGGGTAAGATGGCCATATTTTGTTCGGTTGAGTTGAGAGATGAAGTTTTAAGCTTTTCGTTATATCGAACCGAAACAGAATTTGAGGACGGCCTGCGGCAGCGATTCGCCACCAACACCGAACAGGAGCGGCTAGAATGGATGCAGGCGATCGGTCTGGCCGGGTACGACGTTAAGCGGGCTCAGTTGAAGTACCTGAGGGAACAGATCGACAAGAAGCGTGGCACGATTCACGACGTGGACGTCGACATGCTGCGATTGCAGACCGGCAAAGAGATAGGTGATTTGATTGAGTTTTAAAAAAATTACACGGTTGTTGACATACATGATGGTGCTGGAAGATTGTGTAGATTTCGTTCGGTAGGATCGACTAAAAGTAAAAAGTACAGGTGCGCGTAAAGGCATTTAGTGTTGAGGCAAGATGGGACCAAAGCATTTACGAGTGAAAGTTCTTCGTTTGTGTTGTGTTTATTTTTCATAATAAAAGCATGTCATTGTCGTTATCAGTAAACTTCTGTTGTTGTTATTCTTTAACTCATCCCATCCCAGCAAGTAGCGATAGAGAATCCCGTTTAGCATTTTTAGAAACCTCTCAAAATTATTCCAACTTACCGGTAGTCGGTCCTATTCTTCGCAATCTGCACGCTCGCACCAGCTCGTCATCAACCTTCGTGATCTTTAGTCGTAGAATGTCTCTTACGGATTTCACTGCTCCTCTCGTAGAGCTCAACGAAGTTCCGATCTGCGAGTCGGCCATCTCCTGTGACAATCTACTCTGTGACGGCAATGGAAAACCACCGAATCCATCGGTCGTAGTACAGGTCACTTCGAACAACCGAGCCGGCAGTGGTTGGGTCAAGTACGGTCGAACGGAGGTCATCAATCGAAGCTCGAATCCCCAGTTCATCTGCACCATAACGTTCCGAGCCGGTGATGGGCTGAATGCGAAATCGCAGATCCGTTTCACGGCGTACGATGTGCGCGAGAAGGTCACCCAGACTGCGGTGCCGATCGGGTGGGCAGAAGTAGCCCTTGGGGTTATAACGGACACTTCGCGGCTGAGGATACCGCTGCGGACGCAGAGTCCGTGCGGAGGGAATGCTGGATTTATCACGATCGCGACGTGTGCACCGGATTTGGAGAAGAAGACGTCGCGATCACCGGCCAAAGGTGGCATGGATCATCAATATCAGCAACAGCATCAGCAGCAGCAACAGCAGGCGATCGGGCACCGGAGATCGCAATCGTTGCCACCGAAGCTGGGCGTGAAGTTGTTCATTCCGCCGCCCTCGAAGGTGGCGCTGATGTTTATCAACCCGAGTGTGAGTATTGGTGCAGGGACATACGTATTACGATGTTAGTTTCGAGATAAGCTTGTACAAGGTTGAAGACGGATATTGATGCTGGAGATGCTGAATGAATGAAAACCACGATTGCCTAACTTCTTGATCGGAGCAAGTTGTACTCTAGGGTAGGTCAACTTTACAACTCCCTGCTCTTCATTAGGGCTGTGACGATATCGATAAATATCAGGTCTAAATTATCGATACGATAACCGATATTTGAAAATCCGATATCAACGATAATCAAAATTCGATATCGGTTTGATGTTAATAATGATCGACATGGTTCTATCGTCGTTGGTTCTATCTCCAGCTGAAGGATCTGGTAACGAAGAATTTGTTCGTGATGATTTATTTATTTATTTACAATTTAATCGCTGGAAAACTTTAAATGCAATTCACACATATTTTCAATATTTCTCATACCATTCCCATATTCGTCGGTGCCCATAGTAGAACCGAATTTGTTTTTGATTCAGTTCCACCCTGGAACTACCACCCATGATCACGCTCACAAAAGAAATTCCCATTTCCCGCCCACAGATCCACACATATCGCTTGCATTCCGGATTGGGCGGGGACATCAGTGTTCAGGAGATCATGCTCGAAAGCCAGCTGTGCTACATCATCCCGCAGCAGTTGCTGTAAGTACTTTCGTCCGTAGTTGATTCTTCAGTCAAATATAAATTAAATTTAAAAATCATTGATCCAGCTCCATCTGGATCGCCCGCGAAAAGGAACTGCTGCAGGAAATCTCCGGCATGGGCGAGCTGGGTGGCGAGTGGCGCCACCGGCAGATGGAACTACTGGACAAGCATCTCAAACTGCTCAAGGACTACTCGCAGGCGAAGCAGTTCCTGAAGCAGCAGCAACAGCAGGGGAAGTACTTCAAGGCTAGCTGCAAGAAGAGCGATGAGACGGTGGAGTTTGCTCCGGTGAATCTGCACCTCCAGCGGATGTGGGCTCACAACGATACGCTGAAGCGGGCCGGGGTTCTGGATGTAACGACGGTGGGGGCATTCACCCGACACACGGGCAAGTCCAAGACGGGAGGATTGATCAAGCTACTTCAGCAGATCAAGGACTTGAATGCCAAGGATGGTGGGGTGGGTTGAACATTTTCTGAAATTACTTAGAATCGGTTACAGATGTTTTTTCTTTCACCAGAACTCGGAGAAAGTGGCCGCAGCGAACGACGCCGTACAGGCCATCAAACAACTCCGGAAGGAGATCGTGGAGATCATGTCGCAGTTGCTCTATCTGGCCAAGTCCAAGAACCCAAAGGGGATGCTTCCGCTGTGCACCGACATGATGACCAAAACTCGAGCTTTACTCAACATTTGGGAACCGAATCTGGTGGAGGAGGCTTTTGCATTCATCGAACGTCACCGGATAATCGAAGATCCGCTGCAATCGGTTGAGGGCAGTTCCTGTGGAAACGGATCTTCCATTCCGATGTCACCGTTCAAGAAGATTACCCAACAACTGGGTGCTCTGGATCTGAAAAGTCCCGAGCTGGAGGATTTTTCCACGCCGATGGGACCGGCTCCGGATTTGTGGCCGCAGGTTCGGACCAGCAAATCCGGCGTTTTGGGAGCCTTTGGAAGTAGCACAAAATCCAAGTCGCCATCCTCGGTCGATGTGAGCACAATCGCAACGATCCAGAGCACTTTCAATCAAATGAGCAATAGCAAATCGAAGGACTATTTGATGTCCTGTTCACTTCCGGCGGCGTGTTACCTCCCGACAGAGCAGCCGAAGGAATCCAAGTTGAAAAAATCTACCCCAACGGAAGCGACAGCTTCCGGAAGTGAGCTCAAGTTTAGTGAAACACATTTCGATGTCAACGGGGAGGTTACGACGTTGACACCGGCCGCCACACCGGTGGAATGTTCCGTGAAATCTCCGGAAGTGGAGAAAGCGGAGGAAGCGACTCCGGAAGGTTCTCGATCAGGGCTATCCGTCAATCAGCTGCTGGAGAACAAAAACGAGCTGCTATCGAATGTGTACGATGAGAACGGTTATCTGATTGAGAATACGGCCATTGTCTTGGGTCACAATGGGGCGTTCCTGGATACGAAGGTGATGAGCTCGAGTCCTTCTGCGAACTATTATCGACCGACGGAGGAACCGGAACCGCTAGATCTAACCCAGCTGAACATCGAAGCCAGTGTGATGTGTCTGGTTAGTAAGGTTAAGTTTCTTTGTGGTCGCTGCGGGAGTCCAGCTGTTCGGCTGCGGCAACCAAAGGGGTCCATCAAGTCCGGTCGGGGAGTTCCGTTTGGGGCGTTACCGCCGGATGTGGTGACCAGTCAGCCGCTGTCATTGCCTTGTGCTGACGAAGGGCAGGAACTGGACAAGGATCCTACGGAAATTCCCGGGGGGAGTTTCCCGAAGGATCTTTTACCAGGTCCCTCCGGGAAACCTCCGCTCTGCAGCAAGGATCTGAACCTGGCCTTGACTCAGGCGGTAGGTGAAGTTACGCGCAAAGTTAAGAAGGGTAACAAGTTTACGGACGGTTTGGATCTGTCCCTTACCACGGATTGGGCGTCGGAACTGCGACCTTCGATGAAGAAGCTCCGGCAAGCTATGGATGGGTTGCTGAAGACGGCGCGGCTCATGCATTCCGTTCAACGGCTTCAGCAGGACATGAAGAAGACTTCCACCGTTTTGGCCGTTATGTATCGGAGAGATGTGTGTTTCTCGCAGGCTTTGACTTCGTTGGTTTCCGCTCTGATGGCGAAGCTCTGGGGGCAGAACGTAACGGAGAACTACATCGGGTTGTTGTGCAATCTCGGGCCGTTGGCTTGCTTCGAAGGATTTCTGTCACTGTATGGGAGCGAAGCGGACATGTGGGGCGACATGGGTGTGGCCATTACGGATCTGGGATCGGTGAGCTTTACGCTGGTCCGGAGTAATATCCAGAGGGACTCGAAAGCGGTTCCGATACCGAGGGTGATCGGTTCCAGGCAGAAGATGACTGTTCTGCTACCAGTTCCGGAATCGGTGTTTTGCCATCTACCGACGAAGGAGAGCACAAGCTTTAAGGTAGGTTAGGGAAGGAGAGTCGGGTTGTCAGATTTGTTCAAAAGATCTACTCCGCAGGTCACTCCGGTCTTTTTCAACATCGGCATCAACGAAAAGGCAACGCTGGCGGAAACCTTGGGCTACACCAAGGAGCAACACCGCTCCAACTGGGACAACTACGATCGACTGAAGCAATACCACGTGCGGTACAAACAGATCCCCTTCAACTTTATCAACCCTTCCTGTTCGGCGGCTCTGGATACTCCAACGAAAACCGGCCTAGCGACCACCCAACAGAAGGAAGTCCTGGTGCCGGAACACGCCGTCGCAACTCTGTTCGGTGATATGGAAGAGCAGCTGAGGGCGAATAGTTCGAAGAACTATCGAATATTGACATTGGCGGAGGACATTACCCGGTCGATGCAGGGATTGAGGTTTACCTCGTGTAAAAGTGCCAAGGATCGGACCTCGATGGGCGTCACGCTGGAACAGTGCCGGGTGCTGCAGCAGGAGTTCCACCTATCGAGTGCCAATGCGCAGATTGTTCTGGATACGATGCGAAGGTAAGCTTATGGTTTGACGTTTGCCGAGGGGGGGTGTTTGTGAACATTGTTCTGTTTTGGAATTTCAGCGAAGGAACCCGTTCGGACAATACCATGAAGAACATTGGCCTGCGGAAGTATGCCTTCAATTTGCCGCAGGTTCTGTCGCTGCCACAGGTTTACCGACCTCCGGCCGGTGCCTACGGAAAGGCCCAATCGTAAGTCAATTTCCTTGGGTTTCCAACCAGCAAAATGGTATGTGTATGTTTGTGTGTGCGTGTGTATGTTTATAACTTCTTCCAAGCCAAAATGAGGTTAGTTTGTGTAATGGAAATCACGGTAGGAACAGCAGCAGGAGCGGCAGTTGATTCTTATAGCAAATCTATTCTATTATTTAACAAATTTTACTGATTTACTAATGCAACACAGCCACCGCGCAATTTTTCTTAGCGTTTAAGTAAGATTCTCCTCGTACTAAATCGTTGTTAATGTTGAAAGGTATGATTAATTTATTGAAACAAAAAAAACCATAATACTTGTCACGTTTTATCTGCTTCCGAAGTAAGATTTTAATCAGTTTTATCGACCTCAAGTTTTGTTACGAACCTATATAAACAACCCTGTAACCCTTTACAAACTTTGCATTGATAAGTAGTTGTTACGAACCATATAAAATGCTAACCAAATAATCCACTCTCGAATGAAAGTTAATTATTGTTTTGATTCTGCCCGATAGGAAGGGGAAAAATCCGGAAAGTGAAGTTAGAATAGTCTGAAAGTAATTAGACTGAAACCGATTTCTCACAGAACATAATCGAAAACACGCATCAAAAATCAACCTTGATAGACTTGAATGGGGTCATTGTGCCGTAGTTAGAAGTGCTGTTCAATTGACGGTAGTATGATAAACAATTGGATTGCACCGGAAATGTGCCAAATTTATTTAGATTTTTTTTTCCCGTCAAAAATATTATTCTCTAAGGTTAAAAAGAAAATTGGAACGGATCAAAATTTTGAGACAAATAAATATCACCACAAGGTTTTAATAAATGATACGAAAACTCAATTAAGCAACTAAAACTATAACCAATATAAACCAGAACAAATGTTATTACCAGGTACACAATTAGGCAGACACTTTTTCGAAAGGTACAGCAAATTTTTATAACGGAACATATTATTGGCAAAACAAAAGCAGTACTTAGACCGACACCTGAAACTTTGTGGCAGTGAGAGAGGTTCAACCGCTTCCCGAATTGGTCAAATTTGCAATATATGGCGGGGAAGTCGAAGAAGAAGTATTACGAGAACCGAATAAATTAGTGCAAAGTGAAGCAGTTTACTGGAAAATTGAAGCAAGTGCCAAGTATTTTGGAAAATAGATAGATGAAAGAAATTCCCGGAAGCTCTTGTTGTACGATGTATTGAAAAATTTCAAATCCATCATTTTGAAAAAAAAAGTGCAATGATTACCTATAACAGACAATGCAAAGTGAACAAGATCAAGTCTAAAATTTACTTTTCTTTGCGATTTGATCTGGAACTGCTCATGTGATTCCTATTGTTTTTTACTGCCGATGTTCACAATGTAAATTTTGATTATATTTTTATGCGTTTATTTCTTACACAGGAACGCGTTGAATGGATTCTCCCTTCTACTGCTAACAGCAGAGGTGTTTCGAAGAACTCTGTCGAATGCGATGAAATCACTGCGCGTATTGTTCTGTTGTGAAAAGAGCAATGGATTTGACTGCAGTTGAAGGTATTCGCTAAAGATTTCCGATTTATCTACCGGCTGCAATGAAATTATCTACGGAGCATAACCTAGTTGCTGCAGAATAAGGTGAGTGTTTGTTATGATCCTTCTCTAAATAAGCTTTCTCATAGTTTATTGTGCATTGAGGAGTAGTTATTTAATCGATTTATAGATAAATTATCTTGAAATCATATTCTAAAATAACACAAAATAAATAGGCAGTTGGAACAGAACACTGGCGTGTGTTTTGTCATATAGCATATTTTGAAGCAATCATCGGCAGAATCAATCACGTCCGATTTACGTGAAATATCATGTAACTTATCTGTATTTAGAAAATCGCAAATGTTACGTGACGTTAGTAACGTTGACCTGCATTACACGTCGTGTCCACTAAAAATGTTGGTCAAATCGACCGTATATTCACGTAAACAGATTTAGTATATTTGTGTTTGTGTGTTTGGGACTTCGATATTTCCGCGAAACGAGATTTACGTGATTTTCAGGTACGCAAAAAAAGTTATTATGGCGTCACCAAGCGTGGTGGAAGAACACCTCAAAAATTAGAAATTTCCCAGCATATTGCTACAAATATTGGACCGTAATTTGATTCATTTACTTGAATTTATTTATGATTATATGTAGCCTTTTTCTAGTTTTATAATTTCAGACGGTGGCATCAACATTTTGAGTCTGCAAACAGTTATTAATATTTTGACAGAATTAGAAATCTCATAAACATTTCTACCTAGGGTAAATGTCGGCTTCGGCACCCATTGACTGTTTTCGGCAACCAAAATTTAAACGTTAATTTCACTATGTTTTCCCATCAACGCACTTCCCTGAATGTGTCCAAACGATTGTTTAGCCTTTCAGCTTCAATCTGATTATATTTAAACGATCGAGCAATCCAGTAATGCTACATTTTTCTTCAAATAAAGCATACGCACTACAAAATGGGGTTGATTTCGAGTTGCCGATAATAGAACAGCTGGTTAACACGCAGTTCTAATGGGAAGGTTGCCGAAGAAAACGAGGCTGCCGACAATAGTCACACTCACCTGAGAAGTTTGGAGCGTTGTAAAAACGCTTTCAAACAGTTTTGAAGAATTCTGTCGATTAAAATGGATAGAGAAGCAAGCAGCAGATGAATGTAAACCAACAGACACGTCATATATGTGCGTGACGCTGAGAAAATGCTAATAGAAGTGTGGACACTGCTTAGATTGACGAGAATACGTAAATTCCCCTACCAAGTAATCAATAATTTCCAATTTTTTGAGTTATCTGCCCGATGAAATTGCATAATAGTAACTGCTTTTACATATAAGTTCCATTATTCTCATCCAAAATTCACGTACAAATTACGTGAAAGCATTTTAAACAAAATGGAATAACAAGTAAAAGTTACCAGTTTTCCAGTAGTTTTCACCCCGATTTCACGTAAGCAGTACGTGGAAATTAGGTGTTATTTACCTGAATAATTACGTAGATAATCGAAGCTGAATTTTGATCGTGCATTTCCGGTAAAAGTTACGTGAAAAATAGGGTGGACGAAAACCTCCTATGTTTTCACGTAAATTAGACGTGACGATTTTTCAGAGTGTGGGATAATAATTAGACCTGTGCGCAGATCAAAATTTTACGGCGGTGGCGTAATATCAACAATCAATACGAAACTAACGTTTTTAATTGGCTCACTACTTGACTAGCCTATTGGTCCCAAGCAAATCGATAACGTATCCCATTCTAGTTGAAATTCTAGTACTACACAATGTTTATTTTGATTCGCTATGAAAGTTTGACAGATAAAATGAGGGGTTCGTTGATTTTCCTATGTTTCGAGGGGTACATCGATTAGCTTGGGACCGAAGAGAGTACCAGAGCTGAGCCAAAAAGTTGAGCATGTTCCTTTCGGGACTTTCTAGTCTTAGAGTTACCTCTATGCTAAAACCACAATCAGTTTTCCTCATATTCGAGAAGTTTTCCTCGGAAAAGTGTCGGGAAATTGACTCATTCTATGAGTGACCTACGTTTTCACAAATTTGAGTAACCTGAACTCAAATATGAGTAACTCTTACTCAATTTTGAGCTGTTTTCATTGGTCGAGCATGCGGAATTTGTTTAGAAAAGTATGTCAAGTGGTTGTTAAAATTGCAGGGGGTGGAGTCGTATGGCAAAGTGTTACAACCCTTTTATTAAGTATAATGGATTAGTGTGTAAGAAAAGTACGCTATGCAAGGGTGGATTGTATTTAAAAGCATTACGTAACATTTTAATTGGCCCTAGGAATTCTATTATTTATTGAGCATTACACCACCGACAAACCGACATGAAACTTAAACTTAGCTCTTGATCGAGAATCCATAACGGCCGATTCAAATGTGCAGCGATCCCATCTGTCAAAACAATAGTTTTGTTATTATCTAGATAAAAATAATTTGTCCAGAATAGATTGGACACGAACAAATTCATAATTTTTTTACCCGTGTTCGTGGCTAGGATAAAGATTTTCCGCGAACACGGTGGCAGATGTCAGTTTTGTGCTTTAATCAGAAATGTCATGGTAATTTGTATAGTAATTCATGTCGGTTTGTCGGTGATTACACGTTATTAATTTGTTGATAGCGATAAACTATATGCTTTTATTACTCTGATACATATTTGAATCTACACGCATTGTAGTCATAAAACTTTTTGTTTATGTATTTGAAGATGATATCTTTCGGGTATACGTAGAATCCCGCACAACTTGTTAGAGATTAAAAAAAAAGGTCAAATATCAGCGTGTTGTTAATAATAGTCACTTTGTAACTGATGGTTACAGTGATTATTTTGAGGTGACTCTGTCACCATGTATATAAATAATTAGTAGGTTTATACAGCGCTCTACACAACCCTATTAGCACAATCTCACCATTATCTCGTGAAAGCCACTTTGTTTACAGCGGTTTGAACCATCGGAAAATACTGCGCCGCTTTGCTTCGCTGCAGAAAAAAAAAGCGAAACCAAAGATGATGCCACGGAAGGAAATGTTTTACTGGAAACAAAGGGTCAACTGTTTGGGTTCGGGTTACTATGCTCGGCAATCTTGATGTTCGGCCCATTCTGTCCAAGACCTCCGTAGGGAGTTGTAGTGCGCGCGGTTATTCCATGTAAAAATAGTATGTGATTTTGCATGTGGTGTAAAGTAGTTTAAAGTTTGCTCTTCTTTCAGTGAACATATATTTAAGAGGAACTGTAGGCTGAGGATAGTGTTAACTATTGTATAACGTTGTGTTGCCGATAGTACGTCAAGGTAGAGCCAGTGGCAGAATAAAAGAAATGTACATTTAGGTTAAAACAAAATCGTTTCTCGTTCCACTAGGAAAAGGTCTGAATGATCAGAAGTTCAGTACCTGAAAAAAATATAAGTTATTACAGAGTTCAGTAAGAAAAAGGTAATTGTTGATTTTCATAACGTTTGTAAAAGGTTAAGTTATATGACGTCCATGTAATAACTGGGTGGGTAGGTCCATTCTACGGGACCTTTTTCTCTTTGTTCGGACAAAGTCCGTTATTCTCTTCCTCAGCCGGAGGTCATTCAAGGACAGCGGGACTAGCGACGAGTGGACCGAGGACCACCATTTTCTGGTTGGCAAAACGGCTCGAGACAGACACGTGTTCGTGTAACCACTACCGCATTGACGCCATTATACGAGAGTGGTCGCCTGTCCATCGTCATCAACATCGTTTTCGTTGTTTCCCGGTCGGCTCCTCCAGTGTAGCCATTCCACAGTCGGTCCCACAGTCATCGCCAATCGACGGGTGGTATCAGCTTCGTCGAAGTAACACGGGTGATCCCACCGCCATCATTATTTCACGAGCGGCCCCTGCATCGCCACCGTTTCATGGACGCTCTACTCACCACCGTTGTTGCCTAACGGTCAGGCACACCTGGTGCATCGTGGCCCCTCGGGTGATCCCAACAGCATCGCTGTATTTGTGAGAACACCAACATCATCGCCATACGAGCAAGCATCACCACCTGATCGTACCACATCACCTCTACCATCGCCGCCATCGCCGCCGACCTACCCACCTCTATGAAGAGACAGACAAAACCGCAAGTACCCAGCAAAATGCATGTGACGTCACTAGGTTACAATAAACAAAAAATGTAAAAATGTTCAAAATTTAGGCGGCTTATCTTTAGCCCTTAAACTATTTTCCACCATCTTCTTCGTTCATTTTCATTTCTACCGGACCCAGAAAGGGGTTTTCATGCCTCGCCCGGGAAGTTCTGTCTAGAAGGTTGAACATCGTGAGCCTTTGAGCTTCTTCTTTAGTTGACTGTCCAGAGTTTAACGTTTCCTTTCAGGTGCATGATTTCGGGTTGAGCTTCGCGTTTAAAAATAGGTTCCTGGTATTAACAGGTGGCCACGGAATAATTGTGAGATTTGTGCTATTAGCGACCCTGTGATTACCGAGAGATAGTTTTAGGGATAACAACTTATTCGCCTTTATGTAAATCCGATCCTCATCAGTAAGCCACTGCTAACTGCAAAACTCTATTTTTTTGCAAATGCTGTAATTGTCATGAATGGAGATTGTTTTATCCAC